ATTAGAGGCTTTGCCACAGGACTTGGTGCTGGTATTGCCCGCAGTCTCGTTCTGGCACTTGCCAGACTCTCAGCTGGACCGTAAACTCTGTGCTGAAGTGTCTTGTCCAGGATTGAGTGCAGGCGCAGGGTGGGTAGCTACAGGGCCAGGAGCCTGTCTTCCCTGGGTTCAGCTTCTCTTCACCATGGAAACAGCCCCATAGAAGCCAGAGAATTACACAGGAGAGGAATTTTAAATGCAGCCCATAATCACCCTCTTCTGCTATTTGCCTCTAACTTCGATCACCCCACTCAAACCCAGGGCCTGGGAGATGTTCACAGTATCATCTTGTTAGGTCCGTGGCAGGGTTACAGGGTTGCAGACCTTGCTGTCTTGGGTCAGGACTCTGTAGCCAGTGTCTCAGGATCTGGCTCTGGTGGTGGTGGTGGTGGTGGTGGTGGTGGTGGTGGTGGTGTTTGTGCTTAAATAAGCCAGACCCCGGCCTGAGTCCACTGTTCCACTCCCACTGCAGGAAGGTGGTGGAGGAGCCCCTGGGAAGCCCTGGGTCCCAAGAGCCCAGATGTCCCCAGCTAGGCCCCTGGATCTTTTCACTTGGGCCACAGCACTGAGTAAGACAAGAGCTAGCAGAGCGGACTGGGAAAGGCTTCTTCCTCAGAAGGAAGTGGACATTTGGCCTTCTTCGACCTCTCCTTCCTTTCGGGAACTTCGGGGACTTGAATACCACTTACCTTGGCAAGCGTTTGCTGAACCACATGAGGTCAAAGGAAGGAAGATAAAGCCTGGAGGCTGGGGAGCCTGGAGCCTGCCCGCTCTGTCCCAGTCCCCAGGTCACTCTGCCTCCCTGTCCCTGTCAGCCCCTGGGAGGCCAAGAGCTTGGGGTGGGGTGGTGCTGGCAGCTGCTGGTAACAAGTGTGTCACAAGATGGCAGTTGTTGTCTGGTCTGGCTCCTGACCAGAGCAAACCCTTGAATTTCTCTGTTCCCTCCCTTCCAGGATTTGGTGGCTTCCTTTCTTCTCCCTGGGGGACTTGGGTCTGTAACTGGGAAGGAGGGACTTTCTGTTGGAGTGGCCTGAGGGAGTCAAGAGGGAGAAGGGCTTTTGTCCGAGGCCCCTCAGCCTGGATTTGAGGTCAGAGGTTAAAGGTTACAACTGCCAGAAGGAAGAGCTGTTTGCCCGGAGGTTCCTGGAGACAAAGGTAGCAAGAGTTGCTTTGGGCCACAGGGTACTCGGGAAGGTGGTGTTCTTCCTGCCCCTTGTGGGGAGAGAGACCCTTGAAACCTCCCACGGGAGCAAAGAACACAACAGACGGCTAGTGGTGACCGGCTGGTGACCGGCTGGTCTGGAGACAGCACAGTGTCCCTCCACAGCAGGGGGACAGCTTTCAAGCGGCCTCGGCTGCAGGACCCGAAGGATCAGGGAAGGGGTTTCCTTTTCCACAGCATGGCCTGTTGAAGCTATGAGCTCACCGGGTCGGACACGTGTCTGGGCACAGGTAAGGTTCCAAATACTTGTTTCATTTCAACCATGGAGCTATTCCTCTCATTTCTTTAGAAAAGGAACTCATCTGAAGCAGGGCAGAAGCAGAAGCAGGGAAGTATGAGAGGCCTTTCTCTCAGGAAGCCGTAGACTTGCGTGGAGGCTGAGTGCATCTCCTGTGTGGGTAAGTCAGTCATCTGCCCCTTTTGGAACCTCAGCTTGTCCATCAGGGCTCTCACTGAGCAACCTTCTTCAGCAGTAGACGTGGGGTAGGCTTACCTGCTGGGCCCACCTGCTCTGTCCAGGGTGTTCTGGTTGGGACTTTCTACAGGGGTTGAAGCTCTTGGGTCTGGAGTCCAGGGAGAGCTGGGAGTTGCCCCCTGCACGCCTGTAGTCTTATCAGCGTCCTAGGGACACACAGGACACAAAGGAGCTCTGCTGCACATTTGAAATCAAAGCCCGGGCCATCAATCTCCCAGAGTCGACTGAAATAACAAGGTGGGTGGCACAGACCGCCATCACATGGACACTTGAAAGAGATTAAAACACCGGGATCCCAAGTCCCAAATCCCTTAACAAATTTCCAGTTGCCTCTGAGACCCAAATGCTGGAGCAGAGGAGGAAATGGCTCACATTGAACTCTTGGGAGACCTGTTCAGGGGCTCTGTTCAGGGATGCACCTCTGTCTGGGAGATGCCGAAAGCCCCACCCTTGGCCCGCCTGGCCTCCGGTCCTTTCCGTAGATACTTCTTTAAACCAGGCTGGCCCAGTGTGGCCCCGGTGGGAGGCCCTGGCCTGGCTGCTTACTGTGTATCTAACCAGTTCTGCAATCTGGCAGGTCACGGGACTCCTTTGGCCCCCAGTTTGTTCATTGGTAGGGAATGGCAATTCCTCCCACCTCGGGCTGCTTTTGAGGACCCAACAAAGCGATCTCCATGAGGCGAACAGCCCAGCGCCTGGCTCACAGGGAGAGCCCAGACATTAGCCATATCACTAGCAGTCTCTTTTCCTACCGGCAGAGTCAGGCTGGCCCCTCTTTCTTCCTTTGCCTTGTACGCCCTGTCATTCCCACAAACTCTAGCCCCTGGAGTTTCCTCCTCCTCCAGAAGCCCTTCCTGAATGACCCTCCAAGGCTTTATCTTCCTCCGACTTACTGGGCCATTTAAAAAAAATTCACATTTTCAGTGACTATTCTTTCTAAAGTTTTTTTTTTTTTTTTAAATAAAACATTTGTTTTAAAGTATGTGTATGCGTGCATGTGTCTTGCATATGAGTGTAGATGTGGAGTGGAGGCCAGAAGAGGGCATCAGATCACCCTGGAGCTGCAGCCTCGGGCAGTTGTAAGCTGCCTGACAGAGGTCCTGAGATCTGAAGAGTTCTCTGCAAGAGCAGTCTGTGCTGTTTATGGCTGAGCCATCTCTCCACCACGACCCCTCACCAGCGACTATTTGCTGTTTCATTGTGTGCTCAGGAGCCAAGCTAAATGAGCACCAAGGCTTTGCATCTGTTTCTCTGCCCCCTTCCCTGACAGCACTGGCCGCACTGCTTTGCACATAGTAGGCACCTAAGAAACACTTATTTTCATTATGTGGGGAGATTTCAGGCGTTTGGAAACGGAATCATGGTGCTCCTGAGACCAGGTCTTTGTCCGTTTTTTAGGGTTTGAATATGTTTTCTCCCAATTCCACTCCATCTTTACATTTCAACCACACCCTCCTCTCTGCCTGAAATACAGCAGAGTTTGAAACATGAGTTGTTGGGATCTGAGAATGGGAGACAGAGGAGGCTCTAAGCTCTGGCTATTCTTGTCTAGACGAAACTCAGGTGGGGATTAACCTGGGTGAGAGAGAATGTTCTGGTTCATCCACGGTGATGGGAGCCAGGTTTTCCATGGAGAAATGGGAGGGAGTCTGAAGCCTGGGATGCTCTTCAAGCTTGGCTCCCTCCCCTTGGCCATTTCAGAACACAACCACCTACCATGTGGTCATTTCAATGTTGGGGCTGAGCCCTGGCTTGAGTGGGCAAGCCCAGCAGGGCTCCTGGGCACAGCTGCTGCTAGGGCTACTGCTTCAGGGCACCCCATGAAAGGTGCTGCTCGCTGCCTTCTCTGAGGAGGTGCTGGGGGACAGGAGTTTATAATTAGGAGGTGGCAACTGTAACCAAGATAAATGACTGGCTTACTGGGACCCTTGGGTCAGGGGCCTTCATGCCATCTGGTTGCATGTAGAAACTTTTGTGAAGAGATGCCTGTTGGGGTCTCCCAGAGAATCCAAGACGTTCTATTATTCCCGTAGTGAGCAAGTAAATATCGATTCCACAACCAACCACTACCATGACTAAGCACTGTGTGTTTTACATCTCTTTCACTCTCTGGCGTTCTCAGTAGCCCTAGGAGATAAGAAGCGGATCTCCATTTTCCCCATGAAGTAACTGAGGCACAAGAGAGGCTGCATCATGCAGTCCCACAGCAAACCCACAAAGGCCTCTCTGCCCCCGGGAAGCTCCAGGAGAATAGCCTCCTTTTCAAAATCCCCGCTGTTCTTGGCGCTGGCATCAGGAGTGATCGACTGTGGAAATGAGAGATTCCCGGAGAATGTAGCGGTGGTGGAGATGGAAGCTCAGGGCTCTCCCACTGCCTTGGGACAATCTCATGGCCAGAGCCCTCCAACTACCTACCCATCTTCAGCCCGGGAAACAGGCCGTGGTGGGGCCTGGGTTTGTATGTGGGGAAGCCTTGGTGGTGGATGGGCAGAAGCAGGTTTTCCTTCCCCTCCTGCTCAGCGGCCACAGTTTACCTTGTTTTTCCTCCAGGCCACACTGAGAGTTCGGGGGGCTGTTGGTCTTGTCACTGGCTAGTGCTTGGTGCTTATGACACTCAGGAGATGCTCAGTCAATATTTGTGTAGCGAATGAAGGACCGCGGTGATGCGAGGGCTTTGTTGCTGTCCTGGTCCCACAAGTACAGCTTGTGGCCTGATTTCCACCAGGGAGGCCAGATGTAGCTCAGCAGACAGGGACTGGGCAAGGTGGAAGGCTTCCTCCAGCAAAGGAACTCTAGCGTCTTACCAGCTCCCCACAGGCTCTGGGGCAAGAGAAACATTTCTCTACTTGGGGGTGAAGGGAGCAGGACCAGGGAAGACAGGGGTATGTGGTGGAAAGCTGACTCCAGTTTTGGGTTCGGGAGTCTCTGCTCTGGTTCCGCTGACAGAGGATAGCTATTGGGACCCAGGGTCAGGTTGGAGCTGTAGCCAGATTTGGAGATCCAGAGGTTTTGGCTGCATAGATAGAGCGGTGCCTTCCCTCTTGGGGGTGCGGGAGAGAGGGCAAGCCAAGAGGTACCGATGCTCCTGCCCCTTGGCCTCCTCAACTCGGGGTGGGCGTGGCTGCCCCGGCCCGGCGGGGGGGTTGGCCCCCAGAGCCCCGCTTGAGGGGGTGTCCCAGCGCTCTGAGGCCTGGGCTGCGCGGGGGGCGGGAGGGCGCGCGCTGACGGGGTGGGGCGGAGAGGGGGCGGGTGGCGCTGGGGGTGGAGCCGGGACCGCAGTGCCTGCCACCCGCTAGCTCGGTGTTGAAGCAGCGGCCGCTGGTTTTAGGCTCGGGGACGCGAGGAGGGTGCTCCGTGAGGCTCCGGCCTCCGTGGCTGCTACTGTCCTCCGGAGCCTGGGGCTGCAGTGCTCAGGGTCCGGATCACTGGCCCTGCGCCCCTCTGACCAGCGATCGCTCTCTTTCTCTGCCCGAGAGAAGGCACTGTGCTGCGTGCGCCAGCCACCCCGGGCTAGAGCCCCCGGGCCATGGAGAGGGGCCCGTGAGGGACGCGTGGAGGCGGAGGAAGAGGCTCGGGAGGAGGGAGGCCGAGGAGCAGGGCGCGGGAGGAGGAGGATGCCGCCGCCACCGCCACCGCCACCCGCGGGCTCCCGACGATCCTGACTCTAGACCAAGGATGGAGCCGGCGCTGGGCGCTGCAGCGGCTCCCAGCGCGCCTGCCACCAGGTATGGCCGGGCCCCGCGGGCTCCGGGGAAGGCGGGAGCGGACTGCACCGCAGCAGCCGGGAGGGGCGCGGGCGCGGCGGGAGACGCCCCTAGCTCGGGGCCGGTGTCTCTGGGCGGTGCGCGGAGGCGGTGGCGGGGACCGCAGAGTGCTGGGTGCTGGGAGGGGCTGGCTGGGCTGGTAGCCCCGGAGCGCGGCGATCGCCCCAGCCCCTCCTTGCCCCCATCTGGTGAGGGCAGCAAACTTGGGATAAGCGTCGGCCGGAGACCGGAGCTCCCTTTCTGCTGCGGAATGCACTCGGGTGTCTGCTCCGGGTTCACCATCTCACAGCTCCACTCGGGGCTGCCCAGGCTTCCAGAGACCCTGAGGTTCCGGTGCCTCCTCTAACTTTCCAAACCAGGCTTACACCCTGAGGCAAAGCACTGTCCCAGCTTCTTGCATCTAGCCCGGGTCTTGCATCCGCTCCCACTATTTTGTGATGGGATGGGCCTTTAGGAGGCTGGGGCTGCCTGACGGTGCAGAGCCCCCCACGCCAAAACAGTCCTAGCTCCTCTCTGAGTAGGACGGGGGTGGAGGGTTGGGGTCGGGGGGTCGGGGAGGTTGGTCAGCTCCTCTCAGGCTCCAGGAAGGGACGCAGTGTTTGACTTTACAATCGACTGTGGCTCTAGCTGGGATCCATGGGTTAAAAGGCCAAGCTATCTGAGGAAGGTAAGACCTCACGGTCCTGCTGGGGCGGGGGCGGGGATGGGGGGAACACTTTGGTTTGATTTCAGGGGTCTCACTGTGTCACCTCTCCCTACTCCAGGCCTACCCTTTCTCAGGATTACATTCCTAGTTCTGGCTTCCTGATGGACTTATCAACTGTTTAAGCAAGAGGCTCCTGGGCACCAGGGGATCCAGGCATCCAGGTGCTAGGGATGTTAGAGGAGGTTGAGGCTGGGACAGGGAGGGTGCATGTCCACTCGGGGATAGGAATTCAGCCCAGTATCTGGTGGAACCTAGGGACAAGAAGGGACCCAGGATGGCGGCAGGAGGCAGGCATCCTGGATGGGCAGGGAGCCGCTTGAGAAAGCCAAAAAGATACCAGTGGGTGTAAGAGGCAAACAGACAGGGAGCTCATAGACCAGGGAGAGAGATACTTTCCCCGGTTCCTCAGCCCCTTAGGTGGGGCTGGGCTGTCTCACAAAGAGACCTTACCTGGCAGGCAGTTCCCAGGCTCCAGTCCCCAGTAGCCGCCACACTTCTAGGCATCACGATGACCCTGTTTTCTTTTTTTCAAAGTGCTTCTGCCGTCATGACTCACACTCTGGATTCACCAGGGAGAGATCAAGCTTCCAACCTATTCTATTCCCGGCCCTCTTGGGGCTTTAGGGAGCTGCTGGGGGAGGGAGGGGGTGGATATGCCCTTGGGTCTTGGACCCCTGCAGGGGCCTGTCGTGCAACCTTTCATTGCTTGTTTTTTGTCCCTAATCTTGGTGAGTGAGTGGCCCAAGAGCAGCCCAGACCACAGTGTCTGTGGGGAGAGGAGAGGTGTGTAAGAGAGAGCCGTTGCTGCTGATCCTCCGGTACTGCAGGGGCTTTGAGATCTCACACCCCCCCTTCACCAAACACCTTGTTTCCTCATCTCAGTGCGGCGGACCCTTTCCCATCCCCCCTCCCCTGACTTCAAACCCCCATTTCTCTCTTTGCTGAGTAGTTGTGGAGCTTTGGGCTGATGTTTTCCTTTTGAGCATCCTAAGTTATCCCTCTTCTCTCTGCCCTGGCCCCCAGGTCACTTCTCCTCAGAGGATGGCATAGATCTCTGTGCCCTCTCCCAAGGACCCCAGCTCCAAAGGGAGGCTTGTGTGGAGGGTGCTAGTGCGGGTAATACGCCAGGCTGCCCCGAAGGAGGGATGCATCTTTGTTCCACCGAGTCTGCAGGAGCCCTGGGTGTCAGGTTCTCAGTGAGGTCTGGCTTGTGCCCCCCCAGGTCCCTCTTGCTCATCTCCTGTACCCATCCTTGCACACTGGGAGTCTGAAAGTGTGTGAGGAGGGAGAGCATTTGATAGTCATAATCTGGTTCTGAGAAGGTCCCGAAGCCCTGAGTCACTGTATGGTTTCCATGGAAACAGACTTGTTCAGAGGACTCGGTGTAGCAAGGCATTGGGGGAAGGAAGGGAAACATATAGTAAAATCAGGCTCCACAAGTGTGGTAGAGCTGGACCAACTCCCTTTGCTGGGAAAAATAGATGGGCAAAGAAGGCTCTGATCTCCCCCAGAAGAGAGGCTGCCTCTCTCCACGGGCTAGGATTCTCCCTTGGGGGCCACTTTCTGGCCAGCAACTGACACCTCCATGATCTAGGTTCTCAAGCTTCTGGTGACCTCTCAATGCCTCAGTTTCTTTCTCTGTAAACTGAGGGCCATAGCAATACCTACCTAATAGGCTCCTGAAGGTCAAGTTCATTAATGTGGAACACACAACAGCACCACAGTGTGTGATGGGAGAGTATCATGGTTACTTAATGGGGAGAGGTTCACCAGGCTGCCTGCCCTGTGTCCCAGTTGCTGGTCTGACACCTGTTGGGGCTGGCCTGTTTGTGAGGAGTGGTCCTCCACAGCCCTGGTACCCCTGCCGGGAGTCAGCCACTCATTTCTTCTCATAGAGATTTATTTTAGGCTTTTTCAGCCTGGTACTCTGCAGCCTGGCTCTTTTTGAGACTTCCCTGCCCAGGAACCTTGTGAGAAGAAACCCTCCAAGGCCACATGGCTTTGCTTCAGCATCCTGGGGAAGAGTCGCTTGCTGAGCCCCTTGGGGGCTAGGACAGAAGAGGTAGAGGTAGAAAGGGGCCCTGTGGCAGAGAAAAGGGCTTGGGCCCCATCCCCTGATCCTGGGGAGGCTGGTCCATCTGGTTATGAGAATCAGGGTTGGGAGCACAGTCCTTAGGTTGGAGCTGGTAGGGTTGGGAGAGGTTTAGGCTAACAGTGCCAGCCCCAGCAGTGTTGGGGGCGGGGGCATGGCCTAGGAAGATTCAGGCTGCCAGTGACACACACACACAGTCTCCTCCCAGGACCCGTTGTCAATGCAGCACACCCATGGCTTGCAGGGCCCTCTCTTGTTAGGTGGAATCCTGTCCCAAATTCCCTCAACTCCCTCCACCCACTCCTACCTGCTATCAGCTGCCAGGGAATTATCTGCTGCCTCTTCTACCTTACAGACGCCAAAAATAAGATTCCTGGGGTTAGCCTGCTCGGCCAGGCCAGGACCCAAGCTAGCTGTGACCTCTCCCAGCTGCACAGCAGGCCCGGGGATGCCCCTTTCCTTCCCTCTAGCTCTCCAAGGAGCTTGGCAACTGCCTTCCACCCCCACCCCCATCCCTGCCAGCTCTCGGGGTCTTGCCTTGGGTCTCTCTGGACCACTTTACCGTCCTCATTGGTGTTCACAACACCTTACAATTTAATATCCTCTGCAAATTTCATTAACGGACTGTTTACTCCCTCTCTCAGGATCATTAATGAAGATGTTAGATAAGATGTGGCCTGGCACAGACCCGGCGCCTCTGCCCCCATTCTCAGACTCTTTGCCTTCCAGCCCTTGCCCCTGGCCTTGCCTCCTCCACTCAGGACTCTGGGGACATGTCCCCTCCTGCCCTTAGGCCCCATGACAAGAGCTGAGGGCCAAGTCTGTTTGAATTAATTTTGTAAGATTACTCGAGGCGCTGTATCAAATGCTTTGCTAAAAATCAAGATATATTACCCTGCCTGCATTTCCTTCATCCACCAGTCTTGTAATTCTATCAAGAAAGCTATCAAGTTTGTCAGGCATGATTTGTTCTTTATAAATCCCCACGGTGCCGTGTGGGGGCACAGGGTTCCCGCGATTTCTAAATGTTTAGAGATTCTCTCTTTGTGTTTGTTCCTTGATTGGAGCTGGAAGGGCTGTGAGCTGGGGATTGCCGGTAGCACAGTCTTCTTCCCAGGGATGCAGAGGAAGGCAAGCTCCCAACCCCCCTTCTCTGGAGTCTCTGGGACACCAGTGAGTTGTTGGGACTTTTGAGTGTGTAGGCTCCCCAAGCTGGACACTAAGGGAGGGGATCCTTGGAGCTACCCTTCAAGGATTCTGCAGGGTAGAGAAAAGGACAGACATGTCTGTGCTGCTGACATTCTGAAGACAGCACTAATTGAGTGATGGCCGCAGACCCATGCCTGTGCTGAGAACTCACTTGATTCGTTTGAGCCCTGTGAATTGGGCGTGGCCTTGCCCTCCCATGTGCCAGGCTCAGAGAGGGTCAGGCTGCCTAAGACTGCGGGTCTGGCTTTCATCCCCCAGCATGGACTATGGACCAAGAGGGTCAGGAAAACTAAGCTGGGAGCGGGGTTCCAGAAATTGCAGGAGGCCAGAGGGAAAGGAAAGCTTATAGGTAAGCTCTGAGCCTGGGGGACCTCCCACACCACACTCTGCTACATCTGAGCTGTGTGATCCAGCCACCTAAATGCTCTTTCTTTAAAAAGGGAATTCTATATTCTTAATTTTATTGTGTGTGCACATATGTGGATGTGTGCATGCCACAGCACCTGTGATGAGGTCGGAGGATAACTTGTGGGCGGTTCTCCTTCTACTACATGGGTCCTGGGGATCAAACTCTGATCATCAGGCTCGGTGGCAGTCACCTTTACCCGATGAGACGTCTCTCTGGCCCGTTATATAGCCTTTCAGAGTCTTACCTGTGAAGCAGACACAGCTGTGTCTGCACCCGGAGCTTGCAGGTGGTCCCTTGGGGGGATGCGTGGCAGCCACACCATGGTTCTGAACTCTGGGGGAACAGCTACGTTACAGTTTACTCTAGAGGTCTTTGTTCACAGCAACCAGAGGTATTCGTTCAACTTGTCATGAGCATGGGGAGAGTATGATGCTCCTAATTCTGTCACCTGGGAGAGGTGGCAATTGAGACACGCAGGCATGTCCTTGGTCCCAGCCTGGGTGGCAAGGTCTAGGTGCAGATAGAAGGGTTGCCTCTCCAGGCCG